TCATCTGCTGCTCCTTGGTTTTGTAAAGGGCCTTGGTGTTGGGATACCTCACAAGTGAGCGAGCGCAATATGGTGGACCGCGCCTCCGTGTGCCGCTCCTTGCGTAAAATAAAAATAAGCTGTTTTAAAACGCATTAGTAGGGAGGACGAAAAGTTGATCGTGTACAACAACGAGGAGCGGAAACGATCGTGGAGCTGTGAGCCGTCACAAACCGCTGCAATTTCATAATTCAGGTGCGGCTGCTGGTGGGATTGGAGGGAAATCACTCATCATGAGCTTTTGTCGCATAATCAAACGATAACATCTGAAAGGTACTATACCTAACTTGACAATTTGGAGGCAGCGATAGACCAGAAGCGACCCGCACTGCCCAGACGTTAGGGCGTTGTCTTCCAACGGGATACCTCCAGATACGCTCGCCAGAAATTGCTAGAGCTTGGGTGGAATGTCTTGTCACACCCCCATATAGTCCGGACATAACACCATCAGAATACAACTTGTTTAGGTTTTTGCAATTCTTTTAATGGAAAATCGTTCAATCCGCCAGAGGACTGCAGAAAGCACCTGAGTGGTTTTTCGATTTTAAGTCTGGAATCTCCCATGAAAGGGGTTACTGAAACTTACACGAAGGTGGCGAATCTTTACTGAACGGAATGGAGGATATATTGTTAAGTCAACAGAATTCTTCTGGGAATTTCCACTCCGAGATGAATCAAAAATCGGCGGAGACTTTTCGGACAACCCAATAACTTGGCTACAGAAACAGCAGTTCATATTGATACGTAGTGAATTTATGTGAACTATTTACTATGCATCGCATCTACGAAACGAACACACGGTCATCGTATATAACTCCTCCTGTGCTAATTATATTAGCTCGAAAACGCTTCGGCTACTCATCGACAGTGGCGCGCAGAGTTTCTTGAGAAACTCTAGCCCGGACTTTTTTCATTGATTTCTTAGGAGCAGCAGCAGTGGCGCGTTTTGCAGCGCAGGCTTTCTTCCTCAGTATAGACTATATCCCGCGACCTATCACATCGTGGTCGGGGAAATTCGTAGATTCGTAGAAGCATTGGAAGGTGGGATATAGTCGCGAACATTTCTTCAGCACCAGTCTCGATCTTTTTCCAATCGTGAGCAAGAGCGCCGTAGTTTTCAAATCGGAATTCTAGAAATTCTTTGACCCTCAACTGCATCCTTTCAGCAAACCCCTTCTTAAAGAGGTTCGGAATAAATTTTGTACTTTTCTCGACCAAAACCCCCGATGTTTGTAGAGATTCTAGCCCAAACTATCATGAAAAAGGAAAAACGCTTTGAGAGGCAATCTGACTCTTCTCAGCGGCTTCAGCGCTCGTAGTATGAAATATACGCATACTTTGGGATCTCAACATTTCTTCCACGCTAAACGCCCTCTAGTCAGAAAAAGTGTGTCGAAGCGCGTGCCGCGCGCAATTAGCGCACGGCATTTGTTTCTACTCTTTAACTTCTTCTCGTCAAAAAGCTTATAAGGCTTTCGAAGCTTATTTGGATACAGTTGTATTTGCTCTGAGTGAACTTCCCATCGGATTAGAACATACATACAAATCAACAGTCATTTTTTTGTGTTTCTGCAGGTTCCGCAGCGTCCTCCTCCCCAAGCAATTGTATTTAGAAAAGGGGTTGTATGTGAGACAAGACAACCGTATTGAGGTTTGTTATCGAGCTGTCTACGCAAAGGGATTCAAGAGACTGTCATGTGGGACATGTTGGAACGAATAGTGATGCCGGAAAAGGACTCATCAAATGCGCGCATAGACGGGGCGGTTGGTGGATGTCTGAGGGGGTTCTACCCTTTTTGAAATCTGAGAAATGCAGTGCACCAAAGTAGATATGTGGGCGGATCTATATCGTCAAAATAAGGGGAGGTGCAGCTTTGGAGAAACTCCCGAACAGGGAAACTACGGACGTCCGAAAAGTGTTACTATATTCATGGCGCACCTTGTATATAGTATATCTAGGTTCACACAAATGTTACTGAGCTGCGCATAGTGTATGAAAAGCATTATGCCGGTGAGGAGGAAGATCCACTTCTCAATAATAGTGTAGTACAGTTTGCATAATATCTCATTTCCCTTGGGTCACCGTGTCTTCTCCAACACGCTTTGGTTTTCATGGATCACCCGCTTTCTCTACTCTTCTACCTGATTATCTTCTGTAGTCAACAGGTTCATCTGAGCTTAACGTGCTCCATCGTTTCTGACCAAATAAAATAAGCCCATAGCTGCAGTTCTATCAGTTTTGTTGATGAGGCCCATAGTTGCGGTTTTGTCAATTTTGTTGATGAGAGAACGGGAGATGGTGATATTTGATTGGGGGATGTATTCTGTTATGCTTGTTATTGATAAACTGGCATGAATCACTGCCCTATTTTATTCCCATTGTTTCTGAATATTGTAATAAATCTTCGTGAATCTCTCTTCGGGCAATCTTTTTTCAGAAAGTCGTCGCCAGTCTAAGGAAAAAAGAGAGTGACTTCGAAGAACTCCGTCGAAAATGCGAGACGCCTCCACGAGGTCTCGACAAGGTGTTCGCTGAAAAGAAAAGGCGAGGAATTCCTATTCACGACATTTTCCCTCGTTTCTGGAATATTTAATCCTTTCTTCGTGGCTCGGCGACGAACTGCAATATGAGTCCTGGACTGATATAAGGCCGGAGTACAGTGAGTCCCACGACTCAAAGAATTTCGCCTCTTTCTTTAAATCTTCGCTGAATACTTGCAGTAACATTTCAATTCGGCGAATAAAGACGCAACTGGTGTAAATGCTGAACGGCAGCAACTCTTTGTGAAATGAATGAATTTCTGTGCTGGCCTCTTTATCTTTAGACTGAGACCTTTTTCAGGGAGATTTGGGTAATCGAAACTTTCACATAACAATACAGTAACGATAAAAAATCTCCGGTGAAACGTATTTCCAGTTGTAACTTGTCTTCCTACTCTCTAAAAATCACATGAATTTTTACGAAGTTAATCAATTACATTTTGCGAATACAAACCGCTGTAGCTGCAATTTGCTGTTGTTCACCAAACGTTAGGGAGGTTCAACCCAAATTCAGTGGAAAACAGATAGCATTCACCTAAGAAAGACTTTATTTCACAATAGCAATATGTAAAACACCAAAAACATTGATATATGGTAGAAAATCCTTGGCTTTTGATGATTGCATCGCAACGGAAAGGTATCCGGTTAGCTTTTGGATGGTAGACAGTGGCATGGCGTTCTACTCTTTCGCGATTAGGCGAATTCTTCCTCGCTGCTTCTACACATTTTGTTCGAACGACGCCTTTTGAGCTCTTCCCACATGTGCTCCATAGGATTTCAGCCGGTGAGTGGCTTGGCCATTCCAGAAGTCTGGTTCGCTGTTCGCCAAAGGCCACCATCACAACAATTGAGGTGTGTTCCAGATCGTAATTCTAGTGCGGGTCTATCCTGCGGAAGTGCTGCTCTGCCCACGGCAAGACAAGACGATGTCGACAATCATGTTTCTATGGTAATCCGCTGTAAACGTGCCGTCAATGGGCCCATTCCGTTTGAGGGTAAGCCAACGTATACGATCACACTTCCTCCGCCATGCTTCTATGGTAGAGTGTACTTTGAACTGAACCTTCCTCCGGGAAGACTTCGTCCGCGCCGGATACCGCCGCTTCCAAACATACTGAGCTTGCTCTTGTCAATGAAAAGAACTCTACTACGGTCCGCCGACGTTCAGTTGAGGTGACGGTGCGCAAACTCCCTCCTATTTTTCAGACTGAGAACGGCTTTTTGGCTGAACGCCTCTCATTTATACTAGCGTTGTTTAGGTGTTTTCCTACAGTTCGCCGACTGAGAATGGTGCCATCGCTAACGCTGAACTCGGCTGCAATATTTAGCTGCAGTGAGGCGAGACTCAGCCCCCGATCGAAGTATAATCCGTCCGCTCTGGGCAGGTGATGTGCATAGGGCTCTCCCATTTTCTGAGCATTGCAAACAGAGTTCCTGTCTAGATAGCATAGGATGCCGAGGAAACTCTCTGCTGCGGGACGTTCAAAATTCTTGAAATGGCCGTGACTTTCAAGCACTATTCCTGTGCCAGCTTCGGCATAATACGATGATGCGATGTGGTTCAGTGGGAGATGTAAATCTTCCTTATTGAGGACCGATCGCGACCTCTACATAAGCAGAAAAGGCCAGGCATAAGGAGGCGGGGCGCTGCGAGGAGGCTGGAAAATCGCGTTGGCCGCGACACTCGGCGTAGCGCCAATCATACAGCAGTTCATCAACAATCGTTTCATAGGTTACGGTCATACCTGAAAACCAACCAGACTGTGATTAAGATGCAGCAAAATTAATTGCGCATAAGGGATAATATCTATCTGTCACCACCGGTCACCGAGCTGGTACGCCGATCTTCTTCAACATCTTCAACATCATCTTGATCTTCTTTTGCACTCGCCGACTCGTCGTAGTGAGTGGTTGATTCGAACAGAGCTGAGCCTCCTTTCGCAGTAGTGCGCAACGCGTGACCACCATTCGACCGATGCAGCGGAATAACAGCAGAGGTTAGGCTGTGGTTAGTCAAGACTCGAGTAGGCCTCCCTGCCAGGTACGGTAGAGTAGAATGAGTCGATAGCGTAGGAATAGCTCGGGCCGGTGACGGGCGAGGACGACATGTGACGAGAATACCAGCGAATGTTGGGACGTCTACGATGGTCGGGCAGTTCGGACGCAGATGTAGGTAGGGGTACGGTAGGGGAGAGATGTAAGAGGCGAGGGTGGAGGGGAAAGGTGTTCTCTAAGAGTGGACGAAATAGAGACGGCGTCGACAGTAGGTGGGTGGAGCAGAATAAGGTCAAAATAGACAGAACACCGTCCATGGGCGATCAGAGATGGCGGCCTTTGGATGGCGCAGCGGAGCTCTGCGAGCATAGGGCGGCGTTATGTCTGTCACGGCAAAAAGAGCAAGTTACATTGCAATTTCCACCATGCTCAAGGCGCAAACCTCGTTCGCAGTTCCGGCACAGCTCTCGAGACTGGGTCACCATGACGGTGAAAGCAGGTTATACGGTGATTATCGATGTTTCGCCAACACGGCAAAAGACACAATTCGACTTGGGAGCGATGCGCTCCATCCGCACATGAATCAGCACATGAATGTCAACTTGGATTTGGGAGAACTTGGATGGGTCGCTTCTAGACGATTAGACATACGGCAGACGGTGTCGGTGAGCGATTCCATGGAATCACGCTGTTCTAGCTCCATCAGCTGAGTTTTGCGGTCGATGTCGTCCGCCATACAGATGCGAATGGGTCCCTGCTTGAATTTTTAGCGCCCATACACAAACAACTACAAGGGAGAAGTCATGCCAAGTGGCGGTGCTCCTCTTCTCACTCGAGTAACGCTGTGGCACATCTGCGACCTGGGAGATGGAAGAGCGGCGCGCGTACTTTTCGTTTGCCTGATGTGGTTAAAAAGACCGTGCTGCTGTGAAGACGATATCGCCATGTTTTTCAGCACGAACCATAATTCCCTGAGAAAGGGCAGTAGGACAATCGGTCCTAAAAAATAGCTTGGGATCAACAGCGAGAGAACAACACCTAGAATGAGCAGGGTCAACTTCCAATGGCCGACTGCCACTAGCCATAGTGACGAAGGATACGGTAAACTGAGATCGCCAATCAGTCGAGCTGGGGTGAGGCCCCAGACGCATTGACTAGCATGAGGTCGGAGGAATCCACGTGGGGGTGATAGTACAGAATACCTTAGAGTCTTGCAGACACATTTTTCCCTCCGCACGTTGTGTAACATTTGTGGTTGACTACTGCATTGTTGAATACCAAGTGCAAAAGCGTGGTTTTATTGCGTGGATCACATTCCACTGAGAAAACGTATATGTCACATTTGTTTATGGTCCGTGAAGTCGAAGGCGTAGAGCAGGATATCGAGGTTCGGCTCTCTTGAGTGCAGCTATAGCAACCTTGTAGTGGCTCGATGTTCAAAACCTGTGTTTCGCTATTGCTAAGTGTAGCCTTGCCGAGGTTGAGTGAAGACGAGATCGCCCACTGTGAACTCATCTTCGGTAGACTCTGTCTCGGTAGACACTTCATAGGTCAACAATTTACTTGTCAAACGTTCAAGTTAAGAATAAGTTTAAATTTTTTTGATTCTAGATAACGCAATCTTTCTATGAACGTGCATGGTTGGTCATTATTTAACTTATTCTACTTATAAGTTCTTATTTCTTCCATTATGATGGTAGGCATGATGTTTTAGCGCGTTCTTTCCGATGACCTTGTTATATTGACGCATGAATCGCACTACACCCAAGATACAGGGTGACCCCCAAGTTTATTAGTGCTCCCGTGGGCCAACAGTGTGGGGTGGCAAGTAATCGTTTCGATAGAAATTTGGACATATGCTCACAGAATGGAATTGGACGACAAAATCGTGTTTCCGTCCCTGTAGCTGTTTCTGTGTAGCATCGTTACCTTTGTGGGAGTCGGTGGCAGCGAGTATTGCAGCGTGTTCGTCTGTTCGCTAAAACGTTTGCACGTATTACCAAAGCACAGCTTGAAAGCGAATCGCGGCGGCGAAACAGTCACGAAGCTATTTGAGCAACTAATGGCTTTCTGTACTGTGAGCGCTGGACATATCATAGGTAACGTCAGAAAGAGTAGACTCGTCATGTACTTATGCCCGCGAAGTTCCCGCTTTTTCGAGCTCTCGTTTATATGGACACTTTTCGTCTGTGCGTACTGTTCGTTCTCTGAGCACTCGCAAAAGCATTCTTGCTGTTTTTGCTGAGCGCTTATTATGCTTTCGTTTTTGCGGCTCGTGGCAAAGTCGGACGCGTGCGAGGAGGAGCATTGGATGCCGCTGATGGCACTGTGCTTTCAATCTCTTCATCAGTCGCTTGCGTTCCTGGCGTCGTGGCAGCGTCGCTCTAATTTCCAATGGATAGAGCTTGCTTATTGGCCGTTGGTTTGCTATTGATCTGTGCAGAATTTTTACCTTGGCAGAGCAGATCTTCCCATCTGCGCTCGGTAGCAATTCAACTACTCTACCCATCGGCCAGTGCGCGGGGATCGCAATTTCGCCCTCTTACGGGATCGATCTTGTGTTGACTCGCCCTATTTTATACAGTTTTTTATGCGTGTTTCTCGATGATGTCAAATATTCGCTGTTCCTATATGCCAAAACCTGTCGGCGTTTCCCTGGGAAAGGCTCCTCTCGGGTGAGACTGTCTGTAACTTACCCTCGTCATGGGTTGAGTATTGTCGTCACTATCGATTTCTCGGCATGTTGAAAGGGAAGATTCCAAATTTCCTTGCAGGAAATCAACAGGTCGCAGTGGGATGGCATCAATATCTGATGTGTCCACCTCTGCTAAAGGTCTAGTGTTGAGGATGGCCCATTCGAGCAATGATTGTGGTCATTTCTGCAAATGACATTGTTTTCGGACCCACTTTTTTTGGTATGCGGTTTTAACCGATCTAATCAACCGCTCCCTCACGCCTTCGGCGCAGTATGTATGGAGCGACTTGTCATGTGCAGGGAGGTGCTCAAAAAACGAATCGACTTTTTACCGAGCGTGGAACTGCTGCCACAATCGGTACGGACAAGCGTCGGTACTCCTCTAAGGGCCATGAAGCGAATAAAACTGTTTACAAGTGCGGTATCTGACAGGTTCTCAACAAGCTCAAGATGGATTGCTCGTGTAAGGAGACATGTGTATAGGCACACGTGGGCCTTCGCATGCCACTCATGGTGTATGTTCCAAGGAGATCACAACCTGTGTGTTTGAATGGTCTGACGCGTCGAACGCGGTCAGAAGGCAGCGAGGCTAATCGGGGGACTTTGTGCTCGGCGACAAGCGAGCACTGGTTGAGGATACGCCGTGCATGTCTCGGAGGGCGCGACAACCAAAAGCGTTGTTGAGCTAGCGTTAGATGATGGTTCTCCCACAGTGTGCGTTGTTTTTATATATGTCTGTGAGCATGAGCCTCAAGGGCTCCGAGTGCACTGGTAAGTAAATCGGATTCCGCGCGTCGTAGGGTAGATGAGCATTCTCCAATCTGGGCGCACAACGTATTATTTGTTTGTTATTTTTTATGTATAGAAACGTATTATTCCCTGATCGTCTCGGAAGATGTTCTTATCCTTATTACGAGTTTGCAACTCCTTCAGGCTAATTCCTTTGTTTTCATGCATGAATATCATCTTTTCTGCGAGTTCTATGTCTTTAGCTGTGATATGTGGGTATGTATCGAACTGAGACACGCTACTGAGTTGCAAGTTGCGACCTTTAATTTTAATCATTCGCTCAGCGAGTCGTTTTATAAAGTTTGCTACGTATGCCGTATGCCGTGTCTTTCGAAGACTACTGAACCTTTGTAGGTCCACTGAATTTTCGACCTTATCTTTCTCTTCGACTTCTGTTGCTAGAACGCATACTATTTCCTCCTCTTGCGCAGTATCAAAGGGGAGAACGTCGATGCATTCTATGTTCATTAGCTGTTTTCTCGCAAATTAGCCGCTTGAGCCACTGATCCAGTCCGTTGCGAGAGCTGAGCAGCGCTCACTCCGCTGTGCCCGCATCTGCTGGATTCTTCTCACCAGGTACATGAAAAATCTCAACTTTCTGTCCCAGCTACAGTAGAGCCCAAAAGTCCGGTGAAATGGTTCCTCGGCCATACTTTTCAAACGTAACTCCTTTCCTAGTGGATCGAATCATGCGAAATTTCGATATGTGTAGCATGGGGTTATTGTGAATATTTACCACTATCAACCTGCATTCTGATCACGTTCCAGATATCCCAAAGGGCTCGGACTCAAAATCAATCAGAAATACAGATGCTCTTCCTTCTTGAATTTCTTTCCTTCTCGTCATTTCTTAAATGTACGAGCGCTAATGCCGAACACAGTAGAGAACAAAAACGCACATAAGGTGTGAACATGTGCAGACGTCAACAACTTTACTTTTAGCAAAGTCTGCTACCGCAACAAACACCTTGCTCTATCTGTGGATATTGCAGCTTTGCATTTAAATAGTGTTGGGTAGGGTGAAATATGCTCCAGATAAACATATCATAGTTTCGTGCGATTTGGTCCACTAAGAAAAAAGTAATGGACGAAAAAACGTAAAAGCGTTTCACCGATCACTTGAGCGCTACTAGATATGTTAGTCTGCTGATAATGGCTCTTACGCGATCTCTCTGATTAGTGACAAAGCGAGGATGCCTTTTTGACGTACAGATCCAAATCGCTGACTATATTGATCTTTATCTATTTATTCATTTATTTATTTAAATTGCACTCTTGGTGCGCCCAAACAAACCAGAAAAGTGTTGGTATAACATGAAGCGACGAAAGAAGTAAACAATGCATACAATTCCTGTCGATAGAAACCAAGCAATAGTAGCAGTACCATAATGATGGATGCCAGGAGGCAACATTCCCTTAACCCAGCGACCCCAAGCTGAGAACAGCGAGCCATAGCATACGGTAATAGAATAAAATATAGTAATATACAATAGGCATGTAATAGTAGAATTCATGCCGAGATGACCTGAGCCATCAGTCACCGAATCACATTGATCTGAGTAGGTCCCGAAGAAAGTGCCGAGTAGATTGCTTCGGCAAGGCGTAGTGCCAGCAACATTGCCAATAATCCGAGTCTCGGTATGGACAGCAATCGTTTCCGAGGAACTTGTTTCGTTTTGCCGCTCAACAGTGTAGTAACTGCTTCGGATTAACGCTCCATAAATGCACACGCAGCCATGGCTTGGCTACTGGCGTCCGCAAAGATCCACAGTTGGGTTGGAGCGCTGTGTGCGCATAAGGAAACACCATACTTGGAGCTTCTATTCGAGCATTGTTCACCTTTTCAGCGGTGGTATTCCATTCTTGCGCCAATTTCGTTTCAGTAGGAGCATTCCACTGTTTTATGCTTCCGAATATGGACTGAAGCAAGCATTTTTAACTGATCAGAAGAGGTCCGTCAATAGCTATCGGATCATATATCGAGTGGAGATTACTTCGAGCGTCTCGATTCACTTGAACATCATCACCTCTAATCGTGGAGAACGAAAAAGTGTCTGTGACCGTATTGTAGTTCCCCCGATAGTTTCATAGGCCCAAAGGGTGCTTTATCGTTTTCGTCTAAGTGAGCATTTACAGCGCTGGAATTGCTAACAAAAAATCTTAACTTCATCCCGATTGCGGGGAAAACCCTTTCGATTCTCGTTACTTTCAATTGTCTCTTCTTCAGTGTATGCTCATTAAGACTTTATCAACGTAAAGATAGCGCCGTATTTCGTAAGCCAGTAGAGTACTGACCTTGTGAAGATGTGCGGATATGACTATGTTCAAAATGCTCGGCGAAGCTGTAGTTCCAAAAGATACTCTTATCCAGCGATATTCAACTACGTTTTCGTTCGTAGGTGGTTTATTCGTGTCACGTAGCCACAAAAATCGGCATACATCGCGATGGTTCTCTTGTATACGTACATATCTGCGTGAACGCTGCTTGAATATCCGCTATCCGCTATAAGCTCCTGTATAGGGAACATCGTTCACTGATAAACGTCCCGATGACGAGAGGAAGCGTGGAAACGATACGGAGTGGGGTGGTTTTCCTTTTCCTTCTTCACGCCTAAGTGTGGCATGTCCCAACTTCCTCTCGTCAACGTTCACTACTTCTTCGATGACGTCGTCTTTGGTCCAAGATTAGAGCATACCATTTTTTCTAGTCTGAGAACGCGTTCAGGTGTTCCGTCAGCGCTACTAGTCGATCCGTAGCTAACTTGCGGTTGTCTGTCAGTTCCGAGATGTTCCCTCAAGGGAAAGGGTGCAACGACGTGATTCTCCTCGAAACGGATCGACTGAGCATACTTCGATCGATCGGCGGGCGCATGTACTATCATCTTGAGCCCCTTCTCTCGTAGAGATGCCCGAACTTTCTAATTGGAAGAGTAGTTTTATCTTCTCCGAATCGGGGATGAATCCGTTTACGATGGTGAAACACGATTAACTGATTGATTAGCTCGGGACCTCGGAATCAATGCTTCCGCGACCATATGCTGCTAGTCCGAACACCGTCTTGGCTACACGAGACCTGATGGCATGACAATAGGTGGGACACGTTCAAGACGAGAGAACTGAATAAATCGATTCCGATGAGTATCTGAGGTCTCTGCATTCCTCCTCACAGCACTCGACTGTTTGGAAGTGGTGTCATTTTTCTCCATGAAAAGGATGTCTTTCTCAGTGAGGAGTACTGATGGAAATTCGTTGACTAGTACCGGCTTTTTCCGTAAGGGGATCTGCAGTTTTTTGCCGTGAACGCTCAGGATTTTTATTCTAACATTATGGAAGACAAAGGTGTCCACCGTTCCTCCAATACCGGATAAGGTACACTGTTCAGAATGGAGGACCGGAAGTGCTGGAGAGTCCGCCACGTGTTCTTCTACCAAGGTCACTTGAGCTCCAGTATCGGGGAATAGCAGTGCTCTTACGTATGATCCTGTTTTCTCATTGAGCACCAACGCCTCTACTGTCATAAAAACTACTTGGTGAAGTTAACATCTGCGTTGTATTACTCGCAAGGGTATATAGTAACGCGGCAGTGAAGTGGCACTGAGCCGTTGTTCTGGCTTAGAAGGGCTCTCCGGAGGCTGCACCTCACTTTGGGTGTTGGAAGGCCAGATTGGAGACAGCGTTGAGCATGGCGCACTTGCATTAGTAAGGTTCTGTGTGACTCTCAGACGCCGCTGCTTATTGGTACTAGCCTGTGGTATTTCGGGTACTGGCACATTTTTTGTGCAGAGCGAACCATCGTGAAGTCTGCCGCAGTGTGGGCAATTTAACCGTCTGCATTCGTTACTCTTGTGCTCGCCCGAAGAGCATTTCCAACATAAATTATTCTCGACAACAGTGGCCTACGAGCGCTGGATTCAGCGACAGTGCGACATTGGAATGACTTGTGGTTTGTCTTTTTACAAGATGCACATGAGTTCAATGCAAAAGTACCCTCTCTCGTCGCACTGAGTCTTTCGTGATCTGTTTTTGCTCCGGTCTGACAGTGCTCAATCGTTACGTAATGTGCCTGTAACGTGTCATAAGTTCCTCGAGATAATCCAAGGTCTGTCCTATGGAACATGATTCCGTATCTCGGTGTTCTTTCAGAAATTCTACGATGTTCCGTGATAACTTCTGTGTTCCGCAGTCCACATTGGGTCGTGAACTTCTAGGATGGTGCATCGCGTAGAGACCATTCCATTCACAAGGGTGCGAATTTCGTGAAACACGTGTTGGAAAGGAAGATGTTGCTTTTTGCAGGTTCAAGTTCTGCCCAGCCTTTTGATGACATGTGCCCTAGCACTGGTGACATTGCCGTGCTTCTTTCTCAAAAGACCAATCATCCGCTGATAGTTCTGTGGGTCTCTAGCTTCATAACTTTCACTGTCGTGACTGCCCTTCCTGTAAGGCTGTCTTTGAGCAGGACCACTTTTTCGACGGTGTTCAATGTGGTGATTCTTGAACCATCGTCTCAAAGATTGTCCGAATTTCCACGAACTCTTCTGGTTGGCCGTCGAATTTGGGAATGGTGATTCGGGGTGGTTAGACCGAGTCTTGTGCCGGTTGTTCATAGTTCCCCGTCGGTATGCTGGACCGAATCAACCTGTGTTCGAGTTCTTGATTACCGATATTTCCATAGATAAACTGACAATCTTCGATGTCTTGTAGGTTTCCTGGAATGCCGCTGAATTCGTCAGCTTTCAGATGTAGGTCAGCTCCCAGATGACAAAATGTTTTTATACATGCTCCTTTCAGCCTTTTTCGGTACATGTCTTCCGTACTGCTCATCTGTCTGTGCGCGCTGAAGAAGTTGTCAAAACACTCTCGGAAAACGCGCTGCGAGTTCATGGTGAATCTCAGAAAGACGCTTCTCAGAGCTGAGAGGATAGCGTCTGTTTCTGTGAGCAAGGTCGAAGAATTCCTTCCTTTCACTCAATTTTGTGGCCTTATATTTTTTGGATTCCCTCAATAACGACAAGGTCCTCGCTCCTAGATGTTTAGAGGAGAGTAATGGCATGCTTTACCGAGTAATAAAGTTGTGAGCAGTAGTCCTGTTTTTCGTCTACCCCTGTAGGATACTGTACCTCGTACGTGAAAGGAGGGAGCATATCAATCTGCGCTTTTAGTAGCGTACATGCGTGCTTGAGCTGCTTTTTTGAAAATACAGCGCCATGGTAAGATTGTCTGCCTCGTGTAGGTGAACAATTTATTCCTCGCGAGAGAAATATCAACCTTCGAGATGGACGCCTTGGTGCTTTCAGTTGCAACTGGTTAGTAACGTGATGGGCTGCAGCGTGATCACGAGCCTAGGTTACTACTTCGATCTGGGCAGGAAGTAGTAAGCGGGCAGCACGAGAACGTCGTGCGTTCGATGCACCTTCGGTCGCCAGTAGATCGGCTTTACATCTGCCTTTGAACCACACCGTACCATCGTATAAGTGCTAGCTTCGGCAATCATACGATGGTACGGTGTGGTTCAATGGCAGATGTAAAGCCGATCTACCGGCGACCGATTGCGACCTCTACATAAGCAGAAAAGGCGAAGCATAAAGAGGCGGGGCGCCGCATGTATACTGCTGCCTGCCGGACTCTGAGTGGCTTCGGTCAGAACGTCGAGCACAGATGGGATTCAAAAAATGTAAATGTCGCTAACCTCGCAATCAAAAGAAATCGCTCTGGCAGCAGAACCTTCGCGAGTAGTTACGTGATCTTCCAGTATTGAAGCCAGAAAGTATAGATTGGTTCGGTTCGAGTTGAGGACTGGCATGTCGAAATTCTTCTTAAATCCCTTCACTAGAGAAAGCTTCGATTGGAAAAGTTGTGGTAGAGGACGTATGTAGTACGATCACTATCTCTAACGACTTCTTAATCCACTTCCCGCTAGTTTTGCTTTGGTTGATTCAGACGTATTATTGAGTCGCGAGAAATCCAGAAGCTTTCATCTAGCTATTTTTTGGCCCATGAAGGCTTGAAAGAAAGGGAAAGAGTGGTTCTGATAAGTTGCGGAATTCTTGGCTGAGTGAACGCTTAAAAAAATGTATAATTTCCCATTTGTTGTCTCCTTCAATACTGCTTCCAATCCATGGTCAAGCGGCGCTTTGCGACGGATTAATCCATCGCATACCTTCGCCTCTCCATAACTTTTGCTGAATCTCCGCCATAGAGTTGAAGAACGATCAGCTCAAATCTCTGCTCGTAAAAAATTCGAACATATAATCCTTACTGAAAATGAACCACAAATGTCCGTTTCTTTGTCGGTTTGTCTGTCTTTCTGTTTATCTGTAACTGTCTCGAATGGCGCCGTTTGGGAATCAGCTGGAACAGCTTAGACAGGTTGGAACAAGTGGGGAATAAGCCGAACTCCTTGACTCACGTAGGCTTCGCTCATTGTTGGCGGGGCGTTCGCGAAGAGTGTAGTACACCGGAAATGTGGTACACCCGTTCCCCTGGGCCTGGTGCTTCCAAATTTGGTAGAGAAGCAGGCGGTAAGATAGAAAGCTAATGGTAGGTGACAGGTGTAGACTCCGCCCTCTGGGGCAAGGTTGACGCCAAAATTGTCAATTTGAACCTCCTTATAATGATTTTCGCGTAAAACTTCATCGAACAATATATTGGCCAATGGGATCGTCGAATGGTATGCTATCCTATGCCTACTTCAACGGGTGCAGATAAATGATCAAAGTGCAGGAAAATTCCCATTTCATTTGAAGTGAAATACAGGTGTTCCACAATGGTAAGGGGTAAACAAGAAAGTAAATGATTTCAATTTGAGATGTTTTTGAATTTTTTGCCTTCATTTCAAGGAAAAATGAAAATTGATTCTTATAGCACCTAGAGCGTTACTTGCAATTATGTCAGCTTTGTAAACCCTTCACTTCAACCGGAAACTTCATTTTCAGCGCTTTTAGGAAACATGCGGCACGATATTTAAGGGAAGCACGAAAACGTGATTATTTTGATATCCTTCACGGCAAAACATAAACAACTAAAGCTGAAAACAGTTGATCAAATAGCCACATTTCCGAAAACTCGTGACTTCTTTCAGCCATGCTTTTTGTGTGGAAGACCAATGCAAAACTCTAGTCATGTGAATTCCAGATTTATAATGATTTTCCAGCCAGTTGAATCTATCAATTTACGGGAATCTGTTGATGCTCATTCATTTCACAAAAACCAAGTAGTTTTGTACTCACTCAGAGGCTCGGATCATATGATATAAGAAATGCATGCGAAACTGTATCGTAGTTGTGTGGTGAACAGGGTTTTTTTTTATTTCAAATTCCTTTGTTAGTCTCAGTTGGTGCACATTTTTCGATTGCTTTCAGTACTCTTTAACTATGATATGTATTGAAAAGGGTAGCTTCTGGAAGGTCTTGGTGTCATGTTTTGGTGCTATTATTATATTAAAACTAGAATTGATGTTGGGTGACTCTGGACCGCCTTCCAACTGACCGCTGAGCCGATTGACCCTTCGATATCGACCTCAATCTGCCCATTGCTTTGCTTTGACTAGTTCCTTTCAAGAGCATATCTGTGTCACATAAGCAGATATTCCTCCCTGGATACCACATTGGGCATGCTGTCTACTTCTCTATTCTGAAATCCTCTCTCGGGTTATTTTCTTTACTTCAACTAGGAGTTCTAGTTCACTATGCGGAAGCCATGAATGTCAGCATATTCAGAGAACTTTTTTTGCTTATTTTACGATTTATAATTAATAATAACGGTTTCAGCTGATATACGAAGTTTCATAATTTGAGTACTCCGGTTGTTTTTGAAAAACTAGTCACCAGTAGCTCCTTCGGGGCCGCTCACCTACTAGTGATAAGAACCTCATCGCAGTCTTCTAATTTCAAGAAGTTTCTTGATTCTGATGTAAATCGGTTTTATTGCTTATTTGAGGAGCGCAGGCAAGTCAAAATTGGATGACCTAACAGTTATTGCCATTTCCTTGAAAAATAGAACCACTCTCTCGGAGTGGCCAATCCTATCTATGCTGCATACGGTCGTTTCCTGTCTGAAAAGTGCTCGTTCAAAACTAGCTGCTATAGGTTTAAAAAAGATTCATTAGCATGACTACCGTTGTGCTAAATTCGGTGAGGTTGTATTTATAAACATTTATTCTATTAGCTTGTCCGTTTTTCCCAATTGTCTGCCTGTTAGTGATAGGGCCAGTTACCAACCCCGCTATCGATCTCGTTTAGGCTCACTGGATTCGCATGTCCAGATCTCCTAAAGACACAGAGTTCATTCTTCGAAACCGTGTTGCATTTTTTATATTTCCAGGAACTATTATATCTCTGGTATCTCTGCTTCACACAATAATTTCAGGCAAATGTCAAAGTACAAAGGAAGTTGAATAATGATTGGATCGTCTAAGCGGTAAATTGGCTCGGAACGTGGTGTTGCAATTCTCAGCTCTTCATGAATAATTAATCCGTTGAGTTCGGATCTTTAGCGGTACTCACTAAACAACGTCGAT